TTTTAAATAAACACACTTTATCCACAGAACAATAGCAACAAACAAGTGCAGATTCAACGGTTTGCCGCAGAGTGGGCATGGGCCAAAATTCAAAAATCGTTTTGATTTATGATAATCCAATGTGTTCACTATGGAAACATGTGGTTAGCACCACATAATGTTGCATTTTGCAATTTTGCCATTTTCAATGTCTCATGTGAAATTGACCCTGGATATTAGGTTATCTTTTTCATTTGAGCATACAGATAACATTTCTACACAATTAGTCCTTATGAAGGCTTATTTCAAACTAAAAAAAGCGATTGTTTTTTAGAGAGAATGTGTGTCTGACATTTTATAGCATTGGCGCACAAAATAATTTTGGCATTAAAACATGAGAATATTGAGCTAAAAGCTTACCTGATGTATGTTTAAAATGTTTTTCTTTTTATGGTGTTTTTCAGTGCTTTGAGTAGAGGTTAATAGCTTTTGGTTTTGTCACCACAATTTGCCTTTGAAAATGTCAGCTGTCATTGTCTGTGTTAAAAACACCTCAGAAAATTCCTATTTTCTCACCTTCCCATCCTTGGTTTATATTGAAAATAAATAGATTCTAGTACCATATTGTCCTTTTAAATATATTTGAAGTAATTAAAAGCTTGAAAGATCATGTACAAGCACTGTGTTTTGGCTTGCACACTTTGTTGAATTTGAACACTTAGTTGCTGTTCTAAATTTCATGTTGTAAACATCTTGCCCAAAAAAAGCAAAGGAGTATATTTTATAGTTTTTGGTCATTTTCTAATTTTAATTTAATTTAATTTAAAAAAACTTTAACATCTCCCAAAAGGGCTTTTCAGATATTAATTACAAATGTCTAGACGAAGTCAATATTAATGTTAATAGATAACTAATTTAAAAACTAAGAGTCGTTTAAAAATTGTTTAAACAGATATGTTTTTAATGCTATTTTAAAACTTTTCACACTCTTTAAATTATTCGCGGATTTAACATTGTTAGGCAAGTCATTCCACAACTTTACTGCTCTGAACAAAAATGAGCATTGACCTGTCGCTGTTCGATACAAAGGCACATTCAGGGTATCCTTGTTATCCAATTCATATCCCAATGGATGAAAATTGGTTATAATATAGATATGTACTAATTTAGTAAATTAATTTTTTTTTGGTTTTTATATAAATTTGTGGAGATATTGCCCATTTAGGTGATGAGTGACATGAAAAACAAAGTGTCACCGCTTTAGAAATAAAAATTCTCATTGAAAAAACTAATTATATATATATAGGTATGCAAGTTCATTTAAACTAAATTTGGTCAATCATATATCACTAATGTTTGGTTGAAAAGACCAGATTTTTTCATGCATCTGTTTCTGAGATATTGCCATTTTAGTGAAAGCTCTTGAATTCAATCACATATTTGCCATATTGCTTGGGCGTTGGGAGGTTAAAACATTGTAACAGCTTGCACGTTAATGAGTTAATGGTGGCGAAATTGCAAATATGCCCGAACTTTGATGCTTCGTAACAAAATAACTACGGCTCTTCAGGCTCCTAAAATACACTTATTTTGTAGATTGAGATCTACTTTGTTTAGAAAGATTAATTTTAAAATGATGTGTTTGCTGTCGTTTGCATAATAACACACTGAAGGTAGTATATTTGAGAAAATATTGACCGGAAATTCAAGCTGTTCCAATGCGTAACCAACTTCCGGTTGCGATCCCTACTTTAGGTGATGAGTGACATGAAAAACAAAGTGTCACTGCTTTACAAAAAAAATTCTTATTGAAAAAACTAATCATATATCACTAATACTGTTTCTGAGATATTGCCATTTTGGTGATATTTCTTGCGCATTGGGAGGTAGAAACATTGTAACAGCTTGTGGCTTAATGAGGAGGTAGAAACATTGTAACAGCTTGCGGCTTAATGAGTTAACTATGTTATTTCCAGCAACAAAGGCAACTTTTGTCTGATTGGTCAGTTTTTAACATTACGCAATTGTCCGGTTGCTATGGAAATCACCAAAGGCCGAAGAAGAGTAAATTGTGTGTGTTCTTTCGAATTACTGTTAAAATACTGCAAATATTGATGGAAATATTATTTTAAAGATCTTCGGAAGAAGGAATTTTAAAATCTATCAACATTGGGATGATTGTTTGTGGATTTTGTTCTATTATGTCAAGAATCGAGGTGAACACACGTAATTGTATTTTTCTTTGGCCTTCGGTCATGTTGTGCAGTAATGGCTACAATTTGCTTTTGTGCTTTAAAAAAAACAATTAATGGTTACACACTTTATTTCAACATTTGATACCATATTTGTAATGTTGCCTTTATGTATTAAGAGCCTGTGGCAGGAAAATTCATTCAACTTTTTGTTGGTGTACTTTTGGACTTCTGTTGCTCAGAGTTTTAAACTACATTTTATACTGTTTAACAGTCTTTTTAAGGACTATTTACTGCAGTAGCACAGGGTCTGTATTTCCCTGTTGTGTTTGCGGAAAAAAGTCTGCAAATTCGGGATTTGTAAACACTGGTATACTCGAACAGTGTATTTGTAGGCCTTGTTATGCATGTCAAGTGCGAGCATGTTTGCAAACTATTGGTGTTCATGCAGAAACACAAACTGAATTGACCACCGGTATCTTTGAAGGAGGTATGTGCATCTCGTTATCATTTATTTTTTGTATTTGTTGCTCCATGTGTATGTGGCATGTATTTTAAAGTTTGACTTTTTGTTACTGACACAGAAACAAGCAGTCAAAGTTCAAGCTCATACCTCGCTGTTTCTGGTTAGTACATGTAGTTATTCTGTAAAAGTTTACTGGTTTACTCTTTCTATAAGCACCAAATATAATAGTCATTAGGGGAAAGTGCTGCTGCACTTCAATGTGTTAATATAAATTATTTTCTTTCAGGTGCAGAAATAGTTCAAGAGGTTGAGAACTTTTAACAGGCATACTTGTCAAGGGTATGCTAAGACAAAGGGTATGCTAAGACAAAGGTTATGCCAATTTATGACAGAGAGATTTAAATTGTTTTGTCATAATCATGGTGCCCTTCATTTATTTAATTTTATTTCTGCTTGTAAGGTTGATAATGGTATTTTGTTAAGGCTTTCGCACTGTACTAATGCACATATCAACGGCCTGCCCGGGGGGTACACCCCCGGGACAACCGGGGGGAAACGAGGGGGAATTTGGTATTTTAGCCGTGTATTCTGCCCGTGAACCCCGGGGAAATTACAAACTTCGCAATAATAGGACGATGGGGGGAGGGAAGTAGGGGACTTTGACATGACAATTTGAATTTTATAAATGAAGTGAACAATTGGTGCAAACTCAAAATCGCAGGCTCACGAAGAAAAATATCGATCGCCAACTTATTATTTATGATATTTTGTAGTTGTCTTGCTAAAATGTGAATAAATAAATACAGAATAGATGAGTGCCATTGTGATACCCCAGTTTGTATGATAATTTCAGGGTGTTAGCCAGAAAAAACCGTTTTGTCTGTTCAACGTAAATTGGGAAATTTTTTTTTTGACCGATCAAAGTCCTTGTGTAGGAATAAATAGTGTTTTTTCCAACGTGTTTCTTCTTAGATGCAAACAACAGTGGCTTGGTTTTTTCTATTTCATTTCCGGTGAATGAACACGGATGCACACCGATGCAGGCACTTTGTTTTGTACATTTCATTTCAGTGAATACACACCCAATATGAATGAAACGTGATACATTTTGAGAAAATAGTTAATGGAAAAAGTAAATAAAACGTTTTTTGATATAATAATATAAAATCAAATGCAATGCACTTTCTCATCAGAAAAAAATGAAAATCTTCCAGTAGACCCAGTTGGGAAAGCCCCTTAACTACTTCAATTGGGAAGAGTCCGTCAAACGGACGGACAGTATATGGGCTAGCTAACACCCTGAATTTTTAATTGTTTGTATGCTATTTATAATATGAACTACTTTATTCTAAGCCCCAGGGGGAGGGCAGTTTGACTTACACATTTTCCGGGGGAGGGAGGGGGAATTAATGCATTAGAAACATGTTTTTTCAAAGTCCCGGGGTGTCCCGGGGGTGTACCCCCAGGGCAGGCCGTTGATATGTGCATAACCAAGGGTTGAATACTCAGTGGGTTGTTTGTACTAGTATTTGTAGCATGACTATTGATAGAGCTCTCCATAATTTTTCATCTGCTAATATGAGTAATGTTATTTCTGCTTTGGATGATGCCATCAAGAATAGAAAACTACTACTACTAATCATTGATGACTATACCACCATTCACTCAACCCGAAGGCCTAAAGGTCTTAAAACATCTCAGGCTAACAATATGTGTACTATTATTTTTAAAGTTTTTCCAGAAATAAAAGCAATTACTCGCCCACCACCTCGGTTCTTACACAGGAGAGCTGGAATTAAGCCAGTAAAGCCACACGATCTTGCTAATGAGATATGTTCCAAGAAGCAGATGGTGAAGTTAAGCTGTACCTGTACCTCTTGCATGCCAGAGTTGACAACTTCCTTCTTCGACCCACTATTGGAGAGGAAGCGTTTGGAAACACATGATTCTGGTGCTTCAAC